CCGCTCAGTTTGGAGTGTATACTTTGAAGAAACTCAGACCCATCAATTCTGACAGTAATGTTTCAACTGCTATAGTATGCATTAAGTGTGAAAGGATGCATAAGGGAGAGTGCCTCTCCGGCACTAATACTTGCTACCGGTGCCATTAGTAAGGACATATGACAAAGTCTTGCCCTCTTATGGGATAGAAATCTGCTACAGAGGCCAGAACAAGAAATAATACTTAGAGGACAGCTGGTAGGCCAAGAATTGTGGAGTCTACATCATCTGTTTCATCTTAGGGTCAAACTCGTCAGAATGTTCAGCCTCGAGTATATCGATTGTCCCAACAAGAAGCTAAGGGATCTCCTGATGTTGTTACAGATACGTGATTTAATTAGTTGTCAATGAAAATTTTATATGATATTGATGAAAAATGAATGTTATGTTTTATAATGAATATTATGTCTTTATGTGATTAGGAATAATCTTAATGTGTAACAAATCTGTTAGAGTATTGTTTAATATTAGAGCGTCACACTCATTTATTTCAAAGAAATTTGTTAGATCTGCAAGTTTGCTTCCTCCAATCATGTTGAAACCATTATCAGTTCTAATGCCAAATGGAAATCAAATGGAAACCAATAGGGTATGTCATGTGGATTTGAGGATAGGTGATGAGAACTTAAAAGAAGATTTAATTGTTTTTCCATTGTCTAAATTTGATATAATTTTAGGCATGGATTGATTATCTTGTCATTTCGTGACTATAGATTGTAACAAGAAGGATGTTAGATTTCAAATGCCAGGAGTGAAGGAATTTAAATTTCAGGGAGATAGAGGAATAACTGCTATTATGGTTTCGTCCTTAAAGGCTTACCAATTGTTGAGGAAAGAATATGAAGACTTTTTGACCTATGTTAAGGAGGAGAAGAAAGCAGAAAGAGAGCTGAAAGATATTCCAGTTGTTAAGGAATATCCAGAAGTATTTGCAGATGATTTGTCTGGCATACCTCCAAGTAGGAAAATAGATTTCTCTATTGAATTGGTGACAGAGATGAACCTATTCCTAAAGCCCCTTATAGAATGATAATAAAAAAATTGAAGGAGTTGAAGGATCAATTGCAAGAGTTGCTGGATAAGTGATTCATCATGCCTAGTACCTCCCCTTGAGGTGCTCCTGTACTGTTCGTGAAGAAGAAGAATGGAAGCTTAAAACTCTGTATAGATTACAAAGAATTGAACAAGCTGACACTGAAGAATAAATATCCTTTCCCAAGGATAGATGATCTGTTTGGTTAGAAGGTGCTTCAGTGTTTTCAAATATTGATTTGAGGTCAAAGTATCATCAACTCAGGATTCGAGAAGAAGATATAGCAAAGACAACATTCAGTACTTATGATATTATGAATTTGTGGTGATGCATTTTGGTCTTACAAATGCCCCTAATGTGTTTATGGACCTCATGAATAGAATCTTTAAACTATTTTTAGATCTATTTGTGATTGTGTTCATAAATGATATTCTGGTTTACTCTCCAGATTAAGAGATGCATGCAAATCATTTAAAGGCTGTGTTACTGGGATTAAGAGGAAATAAATTATATGCTAAGTTCTCCAAGTGTGAATTTTGGCTGAAGAGTGTGACCTTTCTAGGGCATGTGATCATTAATGGAATGATTTCTGTGGATCAACATAAGGTGCAAGCTATAGCAAATTGGCCTCGACTAGCTACAGTGATAGATGTCAAGAGTTTTTTGGGTTTAGCTAGCTATTACAGAAGATTTGTTGACGGATATTTGTAAATTGCTATGCAACTATCTAGATTGACTCAGAAAGCAGTGAAGTTTGAATGTACAGCTCAGTGTGAAGATGCTTTTCAGAGGTTAAAATAATATTTGATAACTGCTCCAATGTTGACTATTCCTTCAGGGTCAGATAGATTTCAACTCTATAGTGATGCCTCACATAAAGGATTGGGTTGTGTACAGATGCAGAATGGAAGAGTCATTGCCTATGTTTCTAGACAATTGAAAAATCATGAAAGGAATTATCCAACCCATGATCTGGAGTTGGCTGCAGGGATTTTTGCCTTAAAGATCTGGATGCATTACTTGTATGGAGTAAGATATAAAGTTTTTACTAACCACCATAGTTTGAAATATATTTTCACACAGAAAAAATTGAATTTAAGGCAAAGGAGATAGCTATAATTCATTAAGGATTATGAGTTGGACATTCAATATCATCCGGGTAAAACAAATGTGGTTGTAGATGCCTTGAGCAGGAAGAATTATGGTAGTACATAGTGGATGATTACACAGTAGCAGGAATTGATAAAATATTTGGAGAAGTTAAAAATTTTAGTGCTACAACCCAATGATGAAAAAATTGTGAGATTAAATCAAATGATAATGCAATCAACATTGAAGGACAGAGTACGAGAAGCTTTGCCATATGATACAGATTTTAGGAAGATAATAGATATGGTTAGTGCGGGACACATTGAAGAATTTAGGCTTGATACTGAAGGATTGCTACGTTATAGGTGCAGATTATGTATTCCAGATGTTGGAGACTTAAGGAAGGAAATTCTTCAGGAAGCTCATTATTCAAATTATACCATTCATCCAGTCCATAATAAAATGTATTAGGACTTAAAAGAAGTGTTTTGGTGGCTAGGAATGAAGAAGAGTATGGCAAAAGTAGTGGCTAAATGTACTTCTTGCCAAATGGTTAAGGTAGAACATCAGAAACCAGGAGGATTATTGCAGCCCTTACCTATACTCGAATGGAAATGGGACGGCATTGTCATGGATTTTGTGGTTGGTTTAATCAGGTCCATAAGATGATGTGATGCTTTATGGGTAATAATTGATAGATGATAGGCTAACTAAGTCTGCACACTTTTTATCTATCAAACAATCTGATGCAGTTGAGAAATTGATAAACCTGTATGTTAGTGAAATTGTCATATTACATAGGGTACCAAAGTCTATAGTATTAGATCGGGATTGAAGATTCATCTCCAGACTGTGGAGGAAGGTTCATGAGGCAATGAGTACTAGACTTACATTATGTACATCTTTTCACCCTTAAACAAATGGTCAATCAGAAAGAACAATTCAGACTCTAGAAGATTTTCTCAGGTTATGTTTACTTGACTTTGGTGGTAAGTGGGAGACATATATATCACTAATTGAGTTTGCATGTAATGACAGTTTTCAATCAAGTATAACTATGGCTCCCTATGAAACTTTGCATGGGAGAAAGTGTAGAACTCATTTATGTTGGGCTGAGACAGGAGAAATAAATATTATTGGGGATGATTTAGTAGATGATGCTACATAAAAGATAAAGTTGATCCATGACAAATTGAAAGCTGTGCAGGATAGACAGAAGAAATATTATGATGTCAAGCATAGATCAGTGGAATTTGATGTTGGTGAATTTGTATTTCTCAAGGTTAGTCCAATGAAGGGTGTGAAGAGATTTGACAAAGCAGGAAAATTGAGTCCACAGTATGTAGGTTCTTTCGAAATTTCAGAAAGGATTAAAAAGGTGGCCTACAGGTTGATTCTGCCAAGTCACATGAGTGTAGTACATAATTTATTCCACCTCTTCTTAGAGGAAGTACATTTCAGATGGAGCTCAAAAAAACAGTACTAAATTAATGGATATTTAACCGGAATTGACTTTTGTAAAAGAACCTGAAAGGCTCATAGATTATAGTGTGAAGCAGCTACGAAGCCGGCAGATCCCTTATGTTAAAGTTCTGTGGAAGCATGGATCTGAAAAGGATGCAACTATGGAGGAGTAAAAAATTAGGGAGAATTATCCTCATCTGTTTGGCTAAGGTATAGTTTTAATTTATGGTATTGCTTTTAAATTTTGAGGACAAAATTTTTATTAGTAGGGGGGAGGGGGTTGGGGCAAGAGGGATTGGGTGGGGTGGATTTACTTCCAAGTGGGGGAGTTCCTTTATTGGAAGTAAATTAAGTAGGTGGGGCTAGGGGAGGGTTCGACCAAAAGGCTCAAATCTCTTAATATGCAACTTAGCCTAAACGAAAGTGACCGCTCTTACGTTTTGATTCATCGTTTTATTTGCTAATAGTTTTATTTGTTATTTCTCTAATCAATAAGTTGTGCAAACTCTTAATAAAATCATTGCAAGCATTGTAGTCCTACATCATATGGTCTCACACCCACCCTTCGATTGCTTCTTTGTTTAAATGAATTTCCTTCCTACTTTGTTGGAAACTTATGGCAATTCATTAAATTGGGATTATGGAAGATTTTCTGCTGCTAGAATTCTAGATGGATGATTTGAAACTTGTAATTTTTATTTGAATTATGCTGAATTTATTATTTTTGAATTGATTTCTAGTAAAATTGGGTAGTTTTTAATTTCTGGCATTTGAAGCCTATCAATAGGATCTCAAGGCAAGAAAGAAAACCAGCGAGCATCAAATACTGAGAAAATTTTAATTTTTCTCTCTTCTTGTGTCTTTATAGGGTTTGTGTTTTTCATGTGATTCAACAGGTGCGGACGACTACTCGTGAAGGAGCAAACTGAATGACATTAAGTGTGCCATGATTCCACTAATTTGTTTAAGATCCACTTGTACGCAATTGAAATGACTTTTCTGCACAGCAGCCAGCACTCTGGAAATAGGAGCTTCCAAAAATTAGTTAAATTTCCAGACGGAGAAGTAAATCACAGCGTTTTGTTCTTGGTCTTAATTTCCTTTTGCTTTTACATTCTTAATTAATTTTTTCCTCATCTAAATTCTCACTTGTTCAGGAATTTGTTCATCCCGATTGTTTTAAACCTAAATAAACCAAGCAGAACAGCACATTCCACCTGAAATGTGCTTAACATTTGTTTAACCCCCATATCAAACAGCAGAAGAATACAAAAAAGTCATACTAACCATAGTAATACAAAATCCATCATATAAATGGGACTTGATACAGCGTGGATATAATTTAGTCTATTTGTTGTGGTGATATGTAGCTTGCCTGGAGTGATGCACTGCAAAGGAAGAATTGTTGCTTCAGCCTTAGAATCTTTCCATTTTCTGTAGTATCACCAGGGTATAGGACCGCACATATCTAAGATGAAACAATTTGAAATTGGTGAATAAAGTAAGTAAAAAGATGAAAACTATCACGAGAAGATGCACACTAAGATTAAGTTCTAGGGATGAACCATATCAGATAATCGAGAAAAAGATACTTGGGTACTCGGATATCATGTAGAACAGAAATCAAATTATGGCAGATTAAATCAAGCAAAGCTTCATTCAATTCTGACCCCAAAAAACAAGGTGAAGACAAATATGACCCAAAGATGCCAACAATTTATCAAAAGATCCCTAAATCAGACCATGCTGTTCATGTACCTGAATTTAGTGAAGGCTAGCACAGAGCACAACAGAATACCTGCTGAGCTTTAGAGTGCAGCAAAGCGGCTGATTCATACTGTCCATCATTGAACTGAAATAGATTGAAATCTTCAGCACGAGCTTTTGCATCCCATAGGCGAAGGCTTATTGCATTTTTTGTTTTGTACCCAGGAATAGGAATATCATAAGCAAGTGCTTGAAGTACCTCTCCTCCAACCCATTTTCTACTGCTAGAATCAGAACAGCCAATGTTAGTAGGAACTCAATAGCTATTCATAGGACAGGTGTTCAGTGAAGTGTGCATGAATTATTCTATCTGGCAGAACATCCGTTCGAAGGAGCATAGACAACATAAATAAAATAAATGAACCTGTTGAAGTTTTGCAAGGATATTGACAAAGCTAGAGATACGAGTATGGTAAATATGTCTTCATGCTTCTTACTCAGTGCACAGTATTTAACCTAAAATCTGCTTAAAGCACATTTGTAACTTATTGTCGATGCAAGGACAGACCCTACCCATTATTTATTCATTTCTTTTTCACGTTTGTTTCTCTTCTCTTTTGTATTTTCTTAATGCAATTTTTCATGAAAACTAAACATGAGATATGGGTATGCATTATTGTATTGCATAGACGGCTGTGCTAAGCCCTGAACAGGAGGGTTTCTATCTAGAATATCACATTCCAAGCATAAAACCAACAATTTGGAATCAGCTTTATGAATCCTCCTTTAACATTCACTAGTGTTGACATCAAGATGAATTGTTAAATTTAATATGCATTAGTCATTGTGAATAAATTCTAACTATATTATCTTTGCTCTTCTCATTTTCTTTATAATCCATCCACATCAATTGATTATGTATTCTATTAGTACAATGTGTTTAAATTTGATATCATTTTCTCATATTCTCTTATATTTTATTTGAGCCCATACTTAAGCAAGTCCCCTGGGGCAAACTTGCACATATAAGTAGGGATGTCAAACATGTCATTTTCATTCAACTTTGAGGTTCATTTATGAGCCGCTAAAGTTCAATTCTATTATTTTGAAATTTTATGCAACTTTGCTATATTTTCAAGCATTGTCTTACATTTTTGCACTCTATGTTCATCATTTTGATTTCTTTATCTCATTATTATGCATCTTATTGCACTTATTTTTACACACGATGATAAGTTTGTATGAAATCTAATAGTGCTTTTATGTCCCATTGAGAGTAGGTATTGAAAGTATATTATTTTGTCAAGCAAAAAGCGCAAGGTACGATTACAACGCGCCTTGTGCGCGCTCACCGGCGGCTGCCAGCGGTTGACCGGCCGGTTCGTCCTCCTATGCACGTTCGGGTCTGATTTTTGGCCCGTATAGTCCGAATCGAAAGTTTTTGGGGACCCAGGACTGTTTTTCGATGTTTTGGATCCAATTTTGGCACTTTCGAAGCTCAACAGAGCCTCTATAATCAATTTCGGGCACTTCCAAATGATTTGGAGTTTCAAGTTGCGGAAAAAAATTCACCAAAATCTTTGATATATATATTTTTGCACTTCGCAGGCTTCGATATCCGAAAATAAGGGAGCAACTGATATATCATCAAAAAAATTATATTGATCGGGTATAAATCTCGAGGAAAAATCAAGTTGGAAAGGTTCGGGTCTGATTTTTGGCCCGTATAGTCCGAATCGAAAGTTTTTGGAGACCCCAGGACTGTTTTTCGATGTTTTGGATCCAATTTTGGTACTTTCGAAGCTCAACAGAGCCTCTATAATCAATTTCGGGCACTTCCAAATGATTTGGAGTTTCAAGTTGCGGAAAAAAATTCACCAAAATCTTTGATATATATATTTTTGCACTTCGCATGCTTCGATATCCGAAAATAAGGGAGCAACTGATATATCATCAAAAAAATTATATTGATCGGGTACAAATCTCGAGGAAAAATAAAGTTGGAAAGTTCCAAAATTAAATTTGGGACCATTCGAACTCCGATTTCAGCAAACTTATAGTCGAACTGAACGTCTCGAAAATACGAACCCAACGACACCAAATTCGACTCAATCCAAGCCCAAATGGGTCCAAATCGAATACCTAAAGCACTTTTGGAAAGTTCAAACCATAAATTGGATAACTAAACGACTTCCAAACATGACATGCTTATAGTTGAATCGAGCGGCTAGACAAGACAAATCCAACGAGCCCAAAATCGTTGAATTATGATATCATTAAGACATTCAAATGTCCAGAAAACGGTCAACGATCAAGGGGATCAACATCGGCCGTCCATTCAAATCACTCTTAACTTACCCTTGATCTTCCTCCTATTTATTGGTCATGCCACTCCCAAAAAAGTGCAATGACAATCAAACTGAGCATATGTTTAATTCTCCTAAATATACATATCTCATTCACACACTTCTAGGTTTCTTAGATTATGTCAAATCTGATTTTTAAAGCTTCCCAGAAGTCTTAGGAAACAATCTTCCCTCTCCAAATGAAACAAAAACATTCATACAAACGTTAGGGAACTCTCTTTCCTATGCACTTATCCTTTATACATGATGTTTGGAGCCTTCTCAAGGCTCCAAATGTTAGATTGTATGAATTTTAGTTGTACTTTAGGAACTACAACCAATCATCATCCCCTTTTCATTTGTTGATGACACAAGATTAGCAAATGAACCTTTTGAGGCTTCTTAAGCCTTCAAACATATCATTACATGAGTCCTTTAAACTTAGAGCCAAATTTTAAGTTTCCTCAGTTTATTTGTTGACACACAAAGACAACAAATGATTTCCTTTATCGTTGCTTTCCAAACTCACATGGAGGCTTCCAAATAACCTCTAAAGAACCTAAAGAAAGCATTAGTAAACCTCAGGGTCAAATCCTAGGTTCATTTAATTTGTTTGTTGAAACACAAAGTTAGCAAATAATAATCCATCTCTTTCATGCATAACTTTTGGAATCTCCTCAAGGTTCCAAATGTTATATGGCATGAAGTTGTTAAACCGGTCCACTGGACCTGTCCAACTGGTACATACCAGACCTGCTTACGAACAACAAAGGCGAAAGAGTCCGCCTCCTACATGCCGATCAAATCGAACGGAGCAAGAAGAGCAGATTAAGAAGGGTTTGGGAGAAATTTAGGAGGGAAATTTGAATGCAGGGACTGTTTAGAGATTTCCTTTTTAATTATATGCATTAAATAGTTTGTTTTCTTAGGGTTAGGACATCTTGAATTTGGCTGAAATTTGAGATATCTTATTTTTAGGTTTTTGGGCTCTAGTGGCATCAAGAGATTTGGGAGAGATTGATACTCCTCTCAAATTGAGAATCAATTGTATCTTGCTATTTTCTTCTGTTTGTTTGTGTTCTTGCAATAAAATTCATGTTTTTCTCCGATTTTCCATTGGATTTGTGAAAATCTCTTGCTGTTTTGACGAGATTGATAGGAATTACTTGAAATCTTCAAATGTTTTCTATCAGAAGTCTCTTGAACTTTGAATCAAATTCTTAGTTCTTCTATCTTATTCGTTGGAACACAAAACTAATGGGTAATCTTCTAGACGTGGAATTCAAAGTCTAGTCTTCATCATTTACTTAGCTCAAATTAAGCAAGTGCTCACCTTTCTTTGAATATCAAACGTTGGAAGGGTAAAATCCTATAACCCTTGAGTCATAGAAAGAGGGAATTAAATATGCAATTTATGGATTGATGAATATTCCTTGAAAATTTGGGAAGGACTCCAAATTTTTGCAAGCAAAAACAAGACCTTTCTAGGAAATATAAATTATACGAAACTCACAAAAACTAGACAAAATACATACTAAAAAAATAACTTTCATATTATAATAGACTCTTACAAACTTGGACAAAAACACCTTACAAACTTGGACACAAACTCCTAAAGTTGCATTTCATCGAGAAGAAAGATACAAGTGGAGTGGTACTTGTTGAGAGAAGAAAGAGGTTAGAAGTCGAGAAGAAACATAGCTCGCAAGCTATAGAGAGAAGAAGAGGAAGAGGTGGCATAGCTCGCAAGCTATCCAAGCAAAGAAGAAAAACCTCTCAGGTTTTTATCCAAAAATTTCATTTTTTTCCATTCTTTTTTCATCCCAAAACATCTCTATTATATAGGCAATTGAAAGAAGACAAACAGCCACAACACCTCCAACCAAATCCAATCAGATTTGGAGAAATGAAAGGCCAAAAGACACCAAATGAAAGGCCAAAAGACAGCAAACAGACAACAGAAATTCTGCACAGAAAAACAGGGAAACAATCCACGGAAAACCCACCAGCAGGCCATGGGAAGCCAGCCAACAAGGTACCCGAAGAGCCAGCACATAAGACAAGGCAGCAGTTCACGGGAAAAACAGCCAGGAGGGGAAAACCGAGAGGGAGGACCACGAGAACAACAACAGGCAGCAAAAACCAAGAAGACAAAGGGAAGGGAAGAGACATTAGTGGGGAAACCAAAGAGTCATTAGAGAGGGGAGTATAGGAGGGGGGGATGAATCTAGATTTGGCAATAAATACACAAATTATGAGCTGAATAATAAGAATAGACTCATTAATGAACTGACTCTAGTAGAACTTACAAAAATTTCAACTCAACTTGTTTTGAACCCCCCCCCCCTTTTGCTACATCAGATTCTCCCCCACTTAAAAAGGCTCATCTCCTGATGAGGAAGCTTTAAATTTCTTCTGAGGAGGTAACGAAGGCGCCTCTAGCTCTTGAATTTGGGTTTCATATTTCTTCAGGATCTTCTCACGTTCTTGCTTGAATTGATCTTGTAATAGTTTCTTTTTCTTCTCGAATTTCTCATCACATAAGTTCATCCATCTTTGTATCTTGTAAAGTTCATTTTGAATTAGATCTGTTGAATCTCCATCTGTCCATCGGAAGCGGGACTTCAAGATCTTCTGGCTTGCATTCTTCCACTTGATCACTATTTTTATATTTTTCCATTTTTTCTAAAAAGACTCAACAAAACTTAAATCACTTGACATCAAGACTCACACAACAAACCGGGATTTGCTAACCCGCTCTGATACCAAATTAATGCGAGCAAAAATTTGGGAAAGGCCCCAATTTTTTTCAAGCAAAAACAAGACCTTTCTAGGAAATAGAAATTATACGAAACTCATAAAAACTAGACAAAATACATACTAAAAAAACAACTTTCATGTTATAATAGACTCTTACAAACTTAGACACAAACACCTTA